GCGTGCCCAAGGGTGCCTGGGTGAGTGAGCGTGCCCACGGGTGTTTGCGTGCACGCGAGCGTGCCCAAGGGTGCCTGGGTGTGTGAGCGTGCCCATGGGTGTTTGCGTGCACGCGAGCGTGCCCAAGGGTGCCTGGGTGAGTGAGCGTGCCCACGGGTGTTTGCATGCTTGCGTGCCCAAGCGCGCAGCATGCCCACCGCCGGCGCTGCCCGCAGGCTGCCGCTCGGGCTCGGTGGAGGTGCCGCGCAGCGTGACGGCCGTGCTGGGCCAGGACGTGGTGCTGCCCTGCGGCTACCGGGCGCAGGAGGACGAGAAGGTGGTGCAGGTGACGTGGGTGAAGCTGCGCGCCGCGGGCCCCCCGGCCGAGCTGGCCGTGCTCAACCGCGAGCACGGCGAGCACGTGCAGGAGCCCTACGCGGGGCGGGTGCTGCGGCGCGCGCCCGGCGCCCTCGACGACGGTGCCATCGTGCTCAAGAACGCGGCGCAGGGCGACGAGGGCGACTACGAGTGCCGCCTCATCACCTTCCCCATGGGCAGCTTCGAGGGGCGCCTCACCCTCAAGGTGCTGGGTGAGTGACACGCGTGGGGACATGGGGACGGGGTGGCGGGACAGGGACTGGGCGCTGGGAAGGGGCACTGGGTACTGGGAAAGGGGAATGGGCAYTGGAGGAATGGGAACTGGGACTGGGAACAGGGACTGGGCATAGAGCAGTAGGCAATGGGGACTGGGAATGGGCCCTGGGTCCTGGGAATGGGCACTGGGCAATGGGGACTGGGAACCAGGAGTGGGCACTGGGCAACATGGACCGGGATGGGCACTGGGAAATGGGGACGGGGCAAAGGGACCGGTTGTGGTCAATGGGGACTGGGAAGGGGGCAACAGGGCCTGGACCTGGATCAGTGACACTGGGAAGGGGACAAAGGGCACCGGGCAATGAAGCCATGGGGACGGGGCCCGGGGGGCGGCAGTGGGGACTGGGAATGGGACAAGGGGCACTGGGAACGAGCAGCAGGGACAGACAGGAACTGGGTAATGGTCAGTGGGGACTGGGAATGGGGCAAGGGACACTCGGACATGGGCAGAGGGCACAGGGCACTGGAGCCTGGACGCTGGGCACAGGGTAATGAGCCCTGAGCCCTGGGATGTTGGCACTGGGATCTGGGCAGCATGGACTGGGTGATGGGCACTGGAGAATGGGCCTAGGACCCCAGGGACTGGGCATGGGGCAATGGGGACCATTGACTGGGTGGTGGGCACCAGAGAGGGGGCGATGGGTCATTGGCCCCAGTGATTATGCATGGGGTGATGGGGCAGCACGTGGTGGGCACTGGGGCTGGGGTGGTGGTTACTGGACCATGGGCACCAGGGACCATGCACTGGACAGTGGACATTGGGTGATGGGCACCATCAGCTGGGAGATGGGCACCAGGGACCATGCACTGGGTGATGGGCACTGGACGATGGCCACCAGGGACCATGCACTTGGTGATGGCCAGTGGGTGATGGGCACCAGGGTCCATGCACTGGACAATGGGCATTGGGTGATGGGCACCATCAGCTGGGAGATGGGCATCAAGGGTCCATGCACTGGGCGATGGTCACTGGACGATGGCCAGCAGGGTCCATGTACCGGGTGATGGGCATTGGGTGATGGGCACCAGGGTCCGTGCACCAGGAGATGGGCACTGGGAGATGGGCACCAGGGTCCATGCACTGGGTGATGGGCACTGGGAGATGGGCACCAGGGACCAGGCACTGCGCAATGGGCACTGGACGATGGCCAGCAGGGTCCATGCACTGAGTGATGGGCACTGGGAGATGGCCACCAGGGTCCATGCACCGGGCGCTGGGTGATGGCCACCAGGGTCCACGCACTGGGCGATGGGCACTGGGCGACGGGCACCCAGGAGCGGGGTTACGGGCCCAGGACACGGTCCTCGCGACTGACCCCTCCGCCCGCAGTGCCGCCGCTGCCCATCCTGAACCCGGGGCCGCCGCTGGAGGAGGGCCAGGGCCGCACGCTGGCGGCGTCGTGCACGGCGGAGGGCAGCCCGGCGCCCACGGTGCGCTGGGAGACGGCGGTGCGCGGCACGGAGGCCACGCGGCGCGCCGCGCACGCCCGCTCCGCCGCCGTCACCAGCGAGTTCTTCCTGGTGCCCGGGCGCAGCATGGACGGGCAGAGCCTCACGTGCGTCGTGGCCCACCCCGGCCTGAGCCACGAGAAGAGGATCACCCACCGGCTCAGCGTGGCCTGTGCGCACCGGCGAGGGCGCGCGGGGCACCCCGGGCACCGGGGACGGGGGGGGACAGCAGGGCACGGCAGGGCATGGGGGGACACCGGGACATTAGGGAGCTGGGAGGACATGGAGAGCATTGGGACACTGGTGGCATGGAGGGGCATAGGGGGCACCTGGACACTGGGAGCAGGAAGGGACATGGGGGGCACTGGAGGGCCGTGGGGACATGGGAGGACACCAGGACTGCGGGAACACGGAGGGACATGGGGGGCTTGGGAGTCATGGAGGGATGGGGGACACAAAGGGGCCTGGGGCAACGCGAGGGACATGGGGGACATGAAGGACATGAGAAATATGGGGCACATAGCAAGGCTTGGGGGCACATGGGGGGACCTGGAGGCACAGGGGGCATGGAGGGACACGGGGGACAAGGGGGGACAGGCAGAGATGGGGCCATAGAGGACAAGGGGGCCATGGAGGAACTCCAGGGACTTGGGACATGGAGGGGCGGAGGGACAAGGGACATGAAGGCACCGGGGGGCCGGTGGGGACGCTGGGGGGCCGGCGCGGGGGCCGTGGGGCCCGGCCGTGCCCTCACGCTGCCCGCGCCCCCAGACCTGTCGGACGCGTCGGTGCTGGGCCACACCGAGGAGTGGCAGGAGGGCATGGAGGGCGCCGCGCTGACCTGCCTGGGTGACGGGAACCCCCCGCCCACCTACAACTGGACCCGGTGAGGAGGCGCCCGCGCCCCGCGCGCCCAGGGACTGCGCCAGCCCCTGTCCCCGTCCCCGGGGTGTCCCCGCGGGGACAGCCCC